GCTGAACCCAAAGTGCACTCATTGAGAGTGCAGGCTGTGTATGAGCAGATACAAGCACAAAATTAGCAGACAGTAAGCGTTTTAGAGGACAAAGCCAATATGGCCAGGTCCCGACCCACTTTTAATATCTCCTGGTGAGCAGTGTTATGCCACTTGTAAAGTGTGTCACAAAGTCTGGTTGTCGCTGAGGCACCAGCAACATCACATCTTCCTTCTGGTGTGCTAGTACAGCCAGGTGTACTTCATAATGGTGAAGTTGATGTAAATAGTTTTACAGTTCTCTGGTAAAATGAAACCCAAAGACCTCCTTCCATCCAAGTTGGAACAGTGGTTGCAGAAATGCATGCTGTGGATGCAGTTGTGGTACCACTGCTTCTGAGCCTCTCTTGCATATCTTCCGAACCAGTGGTTAATTTGAGCCGAATCCTGCTGGAACAAGATCCAGGAACTCCCTCATTTTCACTGTGCATTCTGGCAACTGTTCAATTGGATCCACCAGCTCATGTCTTCGCCCATAAAAGTCCAAAGTCATCACACATTTTTATTTTGATTATTTATTGAAAATACAACGAGAAGAGATGTTGCCCATGTATGTGGAGTGGATGTTACTGCTGCAGCAGGTGCAACAGCTCGCGCACACGCTGCTGCCAGCAGAGATGCTGACCGCATGTCCTGTGGGGATGAAGCGTCTTCATCCACCTTAAGATGTGTCTCAGAAACCAAAGCAGCGCAAACACCCCATAACACACCCATTAGAGTTTTTCTTCTCAGCCAAGAAGAAAAAGTCTGATAGGAATTTTTTCGCCTCCAATTCCTACGTGTCCAGTTTTATTTCTTTTTTGTCTGTCTAAACAGATCTCACTTGTAAATGAGTCTTCTAGGCTCAATGTGACTTATCTGTCTAAATAAAGGTTGAATGAACGCGCAACCAGAGTCCATGGGGAGAATCTGTGGTGGAAGTGGTCTCCAGTTACAAGTAGTTGTGTGTGCACTTGAATGACAACCTCAGCTGGGGCAACAATCAGCTTGATCAAGAAAGCTCATCAGAGACTCTACTTCCTCAGGAGGTTGAGACGAGCTGGTCTGGGAAGCTCAGTCCTCACCTTCTACAGTGGAGAGCATCCTGTGCTCCAGCATCAACGTGTGGCATGGAGGCTGCACAGCTGCAGAAAGAAAAGCTTTGCAGAGAGTGGTGAAGGCTGCACAGAAGTCTGTTGGAGTCAGTCTCCCCACCATCACAGACATTTACACCTCCAGATGCAGGAAGAGGGCCACCTGCATCATGAAGGACCCCACTCACCCAGCACACACTCTTTTTGCCCCGCTCCTCTCAGGCAGAAAGTTGAGGAGCATTAAGCATAGAACCACTAGACTGAGGAGCAGCTTCTACCCTGAAGCTGTTAGACTCATGAATCCTGAACCAGGATAATCACTGTAAGGAAAAAAAAGAAAAGAAAAATCAATGTAATGCCACTTTAATTGGTGGTATGTGACTTAACTGTGCTGCTGATGCTGCTGTATTCATATGAATCTGCTCACAACAGACTCAGGCTGCTGTTTAATACACCGTACTATTTTACATTATTAGTGTTTAGTGTATATCTTAGATCCTTGTATACTGTTTTTTTATACTTTATATTTTAGCTATTTTTGGATGTAACCGGGACCTTGGGCACACAATTTTGTTCCACCTCATGTACCACATGTGATGAGAATGACAATAAATACCCTTGAAAAACGATGAATCCCTCCTTAGTAAAATTGTATTTTCAGAATTTTAGTTTAATCGTTTTATATTTTTAATCTTTTTATTACAGTTAAAACAAATTGCTTTTAATGTCTATGGAGTCCTTATGGTCCAGATGGCTATAAGAAAGTACAAATGTACCCCACACACGTGCGGAAAACATTTGTGGTCATATGTGTGTCGTATATCTGCACACAAAACTTCATCCTGTCATTGGCTCTCTCCAAACACGTGTGATGAACAGAAACGGTAAACAAAATGGTGCCTTTTCTTTTCTCCACATCACGGTCATCTAAAGATCGTGATCAAGGCAGGTCAGTCTGTCTCAGAAACGTCATCACACGAATGATTGGTTGGTAGATTGCCTGCTGCTAGCCTCAGAAGGGCTTCGTGTTCTCGGAAGGCCTTGCGTCACCCATTCCTGTAAATATTTTGGTTCCAGCTGAAAATCAATTTAAGCTGCTTTATCTGTGCTTTTCCAATCAGCAACAGAATTCAGTCAAAGGGATCTGAGCAAGCAGTGGAAAATCAACTTTTTGTCAAATACAGTAACCTATTTCCAGAAGTCCACTCACAAAGTCCGAAGGGCCTTTTAAGGACTGTGTCCGGTCGATAAATATGTGACGTTCTAATACACGATGCGACCACTGGAGAAAGACATCAGCACCCCTGGGACCCAGAAAGGAGAAAGAGTTTAAAATAATAGATTCATTAAAATAGCCACGGATACGTCGTTCGGAAAGGCCGTGGCCACTCTCGTCTCGAAGTGCAGGTTTTTGATTATCTGTGCCAAGTTACAGGCACGAGTCGTTCAATGAAAATCAGGATCAAAGTGTGGAAAATTAACCCGAGCGTAGTGTGAGGATTTTTTTTTTAAGTTTAAAGATATTTTGCCAACAGACTACAGTAATAAAGTCCAGGCACAGCAAATGACACGACAACCTTCCTTTCATACAAAGGGAGAACATGCAAAATCCACATGGAAAGACTTTGTCGGAAATATTTAGTCAGAAATCTACCTGCTGCAAGCTGTTGATGCTGCTACACCACCTTGATGCAACAGAACTGACATCTGTAAAGCAATATATTTGATTCATACTGGGATTGGGACAGCAGCACAGTTCAGTTGAACCAAAGTGCACAACGTGTAACATGTCTGCAAGACCCTGGTCTGATCAACACACTGTGATAAATACTGTTTTCATTTAAATACATGAAAATACAATGTGTGGCTCATAAAATGTAAAGAACTGCATTTAAAATCCTAAACAACGTTAGCGTGCTCTCTGCTCTGGGCTGTCAAGTTCTTCCGTCGATTCCACAAGAAGTCTTGTAGACTTTTTGATTGCTTCAATCACAAGGGCTGACGTTGGCTTCAGTACGCTGGAGGTCAAACCATGCAGGGGTCACGAGGCAGCATCATGGCTCAGGTGGTCGTCGCCTCACAGCAATGTGGTCCAGGCTTCAAACTTTGGCCTTTCCATGTGGAAATGTCCGCTTGAGTTACCGTAAGGTTTCTCTGGTTTCCTTCCATTCTAAAATGTGCATGGTGGCGTAGTAAGCAAACAGGCCAGGGCTATGCAACAAAACTGTTCAGGGGGCCACAGTTTCTGAAAACCAACAGCTCGGGGGCCGGACATCCAGCAATTAAAATCATTATGTAAATAAACTAAAGTTTACAATGATCTGTTACTTTTGAAATGTCTTTATTTTATTGCACTGAATCATCTATGCAATAAACAGAACCTAAAACCCAGAACCCCTGCCAAAAAAAAAAAAAATGTTAATGAAGTGGGCCAGATTGAAGTCACTGCCAGTTGAATAGCCCTGAACTAGGTGGACCCTACGTGGGATCTTCATGTCTGTGAATGTTCAATGTGACCAAGCAAGTGAAGAAGCTGGACAAGTACATTTGAGTTTTTCAGATTAACTTTGATCCATTTGAACTTTATTCACGAGCCTAATCAGGAGCTTCTGTTCAATATTTTGACCTCTTGATCTTGATTTAAAGAACAGGGATCTATCAAAGTCACAATGTTTGTGGAAGTGGATCATGGAGATTTTCTGAGGAGCTCAGAAAAAGTTGTTGATGCTCATCAGGCTAGAAAAGGTTACAAAACATCTGTAAAGAGTTTGGACTCCATCAATCCACAGTCAGACAGACTGTGTACAAATGTTCAGGACCATTGTTCCCCTCCCCAGGAGTGGTGAACCAACAAAGATCACTCCAAGAACAAGGTGTGTAATAGTCAGTGAGGTCACAAATGAGGCCAGGGTAACTTCTAACAACTGAAGGTCTCTCTCACATCGACTAATGTTGATGTTCATGAGTCCACCATCAGGAGAACTCTGAACAATGGTTCATGGCTGGTTGAAGGAGAAAGACCCTGCTCTCCAACAAGAACATGGCTGCTCATCTGCAGTTTGACAAAGATCACGTGGACAAACCAGAAGACTGTTGGAAGAATGTTTTGTGGACAGATGAGACCAAAATAGAACTTTTTGGTTTAAATGAAAAGTGTTGTGTTTGGAGAAACTCTGCATTAAAAACATTTTCTGAGGCTGCATCAGCTCCTGTCAACCAAATCACAGAACTGTCAGAGAAATAACTAAAATAATGATCAGGCTGCAGAAGACAAACAGGAAGAAGGATTTATCCCAATAAGAAACTATCTTTAAAATTATACTACGTTACAGAAGGTTGCCCATTGTCTTGTTTATTGGTAGTTTAACTGTACATACATACATGTGAAGATCTCTCCCTCACACACACACACACACACACACAGCACACCTGTGCATCCACTGGTTCGCTTTACCTGCCTCTCCTTTCTGGGTTTCGGGGAGCTGGTGCTCATCTCCAGCAGACACTGTGAGAGGTGGGGGGACCCCTGGGACAGGTCACAAGTCCTTCACAGGTCCACCCAAGATTACATTTATAAACCAAAATCAATTTGGTGCAGAAATCATTTGCATCATGCACACCATAAAAAAAAAAAAAACGCCCCGTGCTTTGACAGAAATGAGACAATGAGCCGATACACAAACCATCATTACACAAAGTGAAGTTTAGTTTTTGTCAAACGAGCACGACATCTGACTGTGTGGCTCCATGGTGTGTGTGTGTGTGTGCTTCCATCACAATCTGATCAGAAACCCACACAGATGATAGAAAAAGGTTAGTGTTTACATTTTGTCCGTTTTTAAAGAAACGCCAAACACAGAACTGTAGTTATTCAAGTAATGTGTGGCCTTTGAACTGGACACCCTGGTGTGACTTTAGAACATACCTGACAAGAAGATAAACATTTTTAATGCTACATTTTGTAGTTAATCTCCCCTGAGTGCCATACAATCACCAGAGCTGAAACTTGTTCAGATTACAAGTTCTATAATCTCTGTTAACATATCTGGATGTTTGGACACTGATGTGAAGACAAAGCACATGAAGCAGCAGCTGAAAGCAGATTTAAAAGCCATATTCGTCATCTTTTCTTTAACTCGTTGACAAATGCTACGTTTATTAAATGAAAATTAAATGTGCTTTACGGGGAAGTGGAGGCAGAGCTGTTGGCTACATGTCAAACTAAAAATAATGTTCAAACTCGGTGAATTTACCTGCAATGATCTTCACAGTTCTCTGTCCATTCTTTTATCCACAATGAAAATGATGCGAGTATAAAAATATTTATTAGTGCAGCTTTCCAACTCTGATTAGGGAACAGTCTGTGTCTACAACTTTGAGACTCCCGACACAACTCTACTAAACAAAACATGACATTTGTGCTAAAACCAAACTTCTGAACTTGAATAAAAAACCAGCAGAACTGGGAGGAACATCTTTATACTGGACTTGAACACAGTGAATGAGTAAAGATTAGCGGTAAGGTGAAGTAGGTCGTGTAAAGGAGCCAAGGCCATAACATCGCTGTGCTTTCAGTGTTAACATGGCCGCCGAGGAGAAGGAATTTGTTGCAACAAAAAAGAAAGATGCTTTTTTTAAATCAACAGTATGAAACTCACAGATAAGTAGCTAAGGCAAAAACGATTTTAAAGTGTTTGTCTGCGAGTCTGATTTTTCTGCATCGTTTTAAATGTTTTGCTTGTTTCACACTCTGTCACCATCAAGGTAAACAAATCCTGAGCCGAAAACAAAAATGAAAGAAAACGGAAGTATTTTCACCGTCTCTCCAGACTTCTAACGGCGCCTTGAACACAAACTCAACAAAGAGCTTGTGTTACCTGTGTATGACGGAGGAACACGCACACTGTGGACGGTGCAGTCAGTGTGTGATTGTCACTGCTGGTGCACGAGGCAAGACGACTCTTTACTGAGCATACAGCTGCGAGTCCAGCTGGATTGGATAAACGCCGATGTTCCACCTCATGTTGGCTCCATGGCCTCCCACAGCTTTATTTGCAGGATGCGAGATGTTTGTGTTCTGTCGCCATCTGTCTGTGCTGTGTGCTTAAGTTAATAACCGTAAAAGGAACCAAACTTCCTCCTAGAACTCGAGCTGAGTTGAGTCTCCGTCTGTGAGTTCAATATCCACATTGCTGCTCGTGGCTGGTTCTGGACGTAACCCTCCACAGGCTGATGCTACTTACCAGCAGCTTGACGGTCCACCAGTTTGAGCAAAAGTCAAAGTTTAAATCTCCCCCACCAGAAAAGAAGAAAAAAACTTGAGTGATGCATTTGTAAACAAAGGCGTAGAGAAAGAACGTTTGAGGACAGGGGTTAAAAGAGGGCGGGTGAATGTAAACAAATACTGGAGTATTGCTGGGGGAGAAGTTGCTCAAGAGCTGTACAGTCTGCGGTTTAGTGGCAGAGCTGGGCAGCAGTGGAGGCTCCGGCCCGTCTGTGGTCAGGCTAGTCTGGTTTGAAGATGGGGATCTTAGGTAGGAACTCTATTAGGATTACCTGCGGAGAGTAAAACAAACAGGCTTCTAGTCACTAATTAACACACATTCCACATTGCTTCCACTGACTCTGCCTCTTTTCATTTATTGGATCATCTGGAACAAGTGAACACAGTTCAGGTGCAGCGCTGCCTAAAGGACATTCACTTTGCAGACTTTCAAATTATGGCTTTATCCACAAACAGACTTTACTTTGATAGTATTTGTACACATTTTCTAGATACAAAAAATTCATTCAGTTGAACAAAATATTCAACTCTGCCTAAATTATCCAGCCTATCCTATGCCTTGTAAAGCAATACAGTAGTCCCTCGTTTATCGCGGGGGATTCGTACCCTGAAGACCCGCGATAAGTGAAAAACCGCAAAGTAGAAATAATAGTACAAGTAATAGTTTATATATATATATTTATGAATAAAGGCGTTTTAAACCCTTCCCACACTCTTGCAATATTCTAAATAATGTTTCTAAACTCTAAAAGCTCTAAAAGAGCACAGAATGTCATGATTTCAGCTCCCTGCCTCCGCTGCTCTTTGCCACCTGCAAGTGTTCGTGGCCACGCCCACTTCTCCACTCTGCACGGTGAACAGCTGATCAGCTGCAGCAGGAAGTTTATCCTGCAGTGTGGGCTGCACAAATGTGCAGCAGGTGCTAAATAATTTAAAACAAAGTATTTTAAATAAAAAATTCCATGTCGATCATGCGGCTCATCCGTCAATCAGCCAATTGTGAGTCATGTTCAATCTCATTTTGAAAAATCGCAATAGAGCGAGTCCGTGATAAATGAACCACGAAGTAGCGAGGGACTAGTGTATAACAAAGGATCCATACATGCGTAAAACCTCTTACAGTTTGCTATCTAATAACTTTTTGCTTTGTTTTTTATAGTTCAGTGGTTTGGCACTAGATAAACCATCATCAAATTATAGCTAAGTATTTAATATATGACTGAGTGATTAGCACTTTTGTGTTTGCGAAAGTCAGTTAGCTGTGGCAGCCATCTTGTAATGGATCAACTCCAAAGGTGTATCAGTTCTAGATGTACAGTAGTGACTACTACTATGTACTCAGTGACTACTCAAAGTACTATTAAAATCCCTCCAGCATTTTGTGGGATATTTTGCTAACAGACAGACAAAACTGACTCCAATAGTTGATGGCAATTTTAAAAACACATCTTGCACAATCAGTTGGTGCTTAAAGTATGTGTTGAGGATCACTCACAGCTACTTCCACGCCAGATTTTAACTCAATATCTGTAAAACTGACTGAGTGGGACATTTTTGTTCCCGTTCGTCAATCTCACTTAGTGGTGGCGGCCATCTTGAATGAGACTGATTTCAAGATTAATCAGTTGGAGATTCTGTATAAATCTAATAAATTACTTTGTGAGAGTTTTAGTCCCATCTGTTCATTAGATATTTTGCTGACAGACAAAAACACTCATACACGAGTAAAAACATTACTGGCCTTTAATGTTCAGTGTGGGGTGATGGACAGCCACATATATACTCACATATTCCATCATGTTATTGGTTTCGCACTTCCTTTTACTAAGTTTCCAGTGCAAACACAACTGTAAACAGAGCAAGACCGCGGTCAGTTTCTAATGTTTTTGAAAAATCAAACCATGTACGCCCATCCAGACATTCGCAGCCCACCTTGTGGTAAAGTCTGTTGTTTTCCCACTCCAAAAGTTTCTCCATCGATCTTCTCGTCTGGAAGACAAACGTGATGTGAGCTGATGTCATCATCCAAACTGTTCAACGTAAACACAAAGTACAGCGATGCTGCTGACAGAGGTGAACATGGCTCACCCTCTTACTGAGACAAATGACGGGCCACAGGCTGAAGCCCAGAGTGCAGCAGCAGCAGAGGCAGCCACACAGGAGCCACCGCACGTTCACAGGGAGGGTCTTCCTCAGACAGCTGTTCACGCGGTTGATACTGGCTTTGAATTCCTCCGGCGCCACCTAATGGAAGACCACAATGAGGAAACAGTGATAGACTACAGCTTCATCCAAGACATCCTTCCTTATGTGTTACATTGAACAATGTCCCAAAGACCCATCTCTGCCTGATGCCCTCAACAAGTTCTATGCACGCTTTGAAGACCCAAACAGACCACCCAGCACCAGACTCACCTCGCCACCGGATGAAGAGCATCTCAGCGTGACCTCAGCAGAAGTAAGGAGTACCTTCAGGAGGATTAATCCGCACAAAGCAACTGGCCCAGACAACATCCCCGGAAAAGTGTTGAAGGAATGTGCTGATCAGCTCTGTGAGGTGCTGGCAGACATCTTTAACACCTCACTTACCCTGGAGACAGTTCCCACCTGCCTGAAGACTGCCACCATCATCCCAGTCCCAAAAAGCTCTACAGTGACTGGTCTGAATGACTATCGGCCAGTGGCCCTCACCCCGATAGTCACTAAATGCTTCGAAAAACTGGTCATGACTCACATCAAAACAACCATCAACATCAACAAGGACCCTCATCAGTACGCATACCGTGAGAACCGATCAACAGAGGATGCAATCTCCTCTGTGGTCCACACTGCACTCAACCACCTGGAGCAGAAAAACTCTTACGTCCGTATGCTCTTTGTGGACTTCACATCCGCCTTCAATACCATGATCCCCCAAACCCTGATGGACAAACTATCCACACTAGGACTAAGCCCCTCCATCTGCAACTGGGTACTAGACTTTTTAACAAACAGACCACAGTTAGTGAGGATCCACAACCTCTCCTCCTCCACCATAACCCTCAGCACTGGCTCTCCTCAGGGATGTGTGTTGAGCCCCCTCCTGTTTACTCTGCTCACATATGATTGTGCAGCTACCCATCCAGGCTGTCACATTGTAAAGTTTGCAGATGATACAGCGGTGGTGGGATGCATCACAAACAATGATGAGTCCAGCTACAGGCAGGAGGTGGAACACCTGGAGAGCTGGTGCAGAGAGAATAACCTTCACATCAATGTGAAGAAGACAAAGGAGATGATTGTGGACTTCAGAAGGAACAAAAACACCTACACCCCCCTGAACATAAGAGGATCTGCGGTGTAAGTGGTCTCCAGCTACAAGTACTTGGGTGTACACATGAATGACAACCTCAGCTGGAGCAACAACACCACCAGCCTGATCAAGAAAGCTCATCAGAGACTCTACTTCCTCAGACGGCTGAGGCGAGCTGGTCTGGGAAGCTCAGTCCTCACCTCCTTCTACAGGTGTGCAGTGGAGAGCATCCTGTGCTCGAGCATCAATGTGTGGCATGGAGGCTGCACAGCTGCAGAAAGAAAAGCTTTGCAGAGAGTGGTGAAGGCTGCACAGAAATCTGTCGGAATCAGTCTCCCCACCATCACAGACATCTACACCTCCAGATGCAGGAAGAGGGCCACCTGCATCATGAAGGACCCCACCCACCCAGCACACACACTTTTTGCCCCACTCCCCTCAGGAAGGAGGTTAAGGAGCATTAAGTGTAGAACCACTAGACTGAGGAACAGCTTCTACCCTGAGGCTGTTAGACTCATGAATCTCTAACTAGAATAATCACTGTGAAAAACCATATCATGTTGCTGCTGATCTGTTTCATGTTGCTGCTGATCTGTTTCAATGTTGATGTGTTCATGCGTGCACATCTGCTCACAGACTCATGTTCATGTTTGTGGTGATGTTCAATGTTTTATGTTATGAGTGCTTAGTGTATATTTAGTTGATGTTTTTCTTAGTTCATATCTTAGATGTTATTACTGTTTTTCTTATACATTTTATTGTTGGATGTAACTGGGACCTTGTGTACATAATTTCGCTCCACCACATGTACCACATGAGGTGCGAATGACAATAAAGAAACTCTGACTCTGACTCTGACTCTGACTGTTCTTCTGCGTTCTTTAGTCAACAATAAATGCTGCATGTTTTACTCAAGTACTGGCAGGTGGAGGATCCATCCATCCATCCATCCATCCATTTTCTTTACCCGCTTATTACATTTTGGGTCACGGGGGTCGCTGGTGCCCATGTCCAGCAATCACTGTGCGAGAGGCGGGGTACACCCTGGACAGGTCGCAAGTCCATCACAGGGCCACATAGAGACAAACGAGACAAACAACCATTCACTCTCTCACTCACACCTAGGGACAATTTAGAGTTACCAATCAGCCTAACATGCATGTTTTTGGTCTGTGGGAGGAAACCGGAGTACCCGGAGAAAACCCACGCATGCACGGAGAGAACATGCAAACTCCACCCAGAAAGGCCCCTGGACTGGGGTTTGAACCAAGGACCTGCTCGCTGAGAGGCAGCAGCTCTACCAGTTGCGCCACCGTGCTGCCCGCAGGTGGAGGATATTTACATTAAAAAAAATAATAATAATAAAAAAAAAAATATATATATATATATATATATATATATATATATATATATATATATATGTATAGCTATTTGTCAGGGAATTTCCAGTCAAAGGTCAGATGTGATGTTTTTATTATTATGGCTGAACAGTCTTCCCCTCTGCCCTGAGAACAAGAAGAACAAAACAAGCTGAAACCATCTCCCAAGACACTATCTCATCTCTGCCCATGAACCATATGTTTGAGTAAATGGTAAATGGACTGTAATTATGTAGCACCTTTCTATCTTATCAAGACACTCAAACTGCTTTACACTACAATCTGTGCCCTCATTTACCCATTCATACAGCACTCTACTAGATCTATACAAAGACGTGACTTATCTGTGCTGCTGATCTCATGCTGCTGCTGATCTCATGCTGCTGTAATCATTCATACCCATCTACTCACAACTGACTCATGTTTGGGTTGCTGTCGTTATGCTGTATTGTTTTACATTATTAGTGTTTAGCGTATATCTATGGCAGAACGACGGCTCAGTGGTTAGCATTGTTGCCTCACAGCAAGAAGGTCCTGGGTTCAATCCCCGGTCAGACGTGGGGTTTTTCTGGGTGGAGTTTGCATGGTCCTCTCGTGCTTGCATGGGTTTTCGTGCTTGCATGGGTTTTCTCCAGGTACTCCGGTTTCCTCCCACAGACCAAAAACATGCATGTTAGTCTGCCTTCAGGTCCAGGCCTCCCTTGCAAGAGATCTGTGATCTCACTGGGATTTGCCTGGTTAAATAAAAGTTAATAAGTAATAATAATAAATAAATAAATAAATTTATTTTGTTAGTGTACCGTTCAGCCTTCGTTTTGCATATATCTTAGATCCTTATATACCGTTTCTTTTAAAAACATTCTATTTTTGCTATTGTAGGATGTAACTGGGACCCTGTATACATAATTTCATTCCACCTCATGTACCACATGTGATGAATGACAATAAAATTGACTTGGAACTTGAACTACCTGTAATCAGAGCTTTACATCACATTCATACACCGATGGACACACATCAGAGACAGCGTTTTGCCCAGGGACACTTCAGCATGTGACTGCTGGTGGAACTTTTATTACTTTTATTACACTGGAGGACGACTGCTCTACCCACTCTGCCACAGCTGCCCCAGACAGAGGGTGCAGTGTAAGAAGGCTGCAGCTGGCTTCAAGGACACCTCCTGAACTCTGTGAACTCGGATGAGCTGAGAGGAGTATAAAAGCGAGTGGATAACGCGGCTCGTGGAATTTTTCTGTGACTGGTTTTCGTGCGTATAAATCTATGTATGCAATATGTTTATTGATGTAAACTGTCCTGAAATCTGACCTCGCAAGAATAAACACCAGTTAAAAATCTCCTGCCGTCGAGTGTGGTTGTTTTGGGTAAACAACGTTAGCGAGTGAGATTTTCTCCAACACTATTAAAGACGCCCCAAACACCACGGATCCAGAACGCCTCAAACACGGAGCTCAACAGTTCTCAAATATAATTAAAGCCCTAGGACTCCTTGTAGAAATGCACATCACCTTGAGTGCCAAGGCTTTAAACTGAGATCGTCCCAGTTTAAAGGGTTATGACAGAGTTGTAGCCAGTTTTGGTAAAAATCTGCCGTTCTGCACAATCTCAGAGTATAAAGTGATGATTCTCAGCTACTACCTCACCAAACTTTATCTCAAAACTTATACACCTGACTGAATTGTAGCCACTTGATCAAGTGAATGGGCTGTGGCGTCCATCTTGAATTGAACTGCTTCCAAATCAGTTGTAGATGAACATCATTTTTATGCGTTTCTTGGTTATTTTTGCAAAGATGACAGAGAATAGAAGATAGGGACACATGCACAGACACACAAGCAACAACAGTCTACAAGTAAGCACAGAAGAGGAATCTCGGCGTTCAACTCTTCATGCCCACCAGCCAATGTCTACGACATCTCACGCCCCCAAAAAAACAACTTTACAATGGATGGAGACACTAATCTGGTTTAACTAATAGATTAAAACGTGAATGTCAAATTAAATACGACGTTATGAAAGTCAGGAGTCTGTGGAATCCTTTCAAAGCTCTTCTGAGTGAACTGAATCTTTTCTAAGAGGAGAAAAAAATGTTAAACACCTTCTGCAAGAGCTCATGTCACAAGGGTTAAGACATATTAAATCCAACAGTATGCAACATTTGACCATGATGGAAGAAGTAGCAACAAGATGTTTATTTGCTAAACCTGCCTTCAGCTGGAAAAATAATAAAGATCGCAATTAAAGGACAGTTTTATGACAACAATAAGAGAACGTGCAGGGGGTACAGTAAATGTGTTTTTTCTAAATCTTACCTACTGAACAGCTTCTTTACAGTAACTATTTGAAATGCTCCCACTATTGTACAGTTGCATCTTGGGCTTATGTTGACTTCCTGTTTTGTACCATGTTGGAGCAAACTCTAAACAAGTACCACACGTTTGACTCAGTCCTCTTTTTAATGACAGTTCAGCAGGCGGTCTTACAGTGGGGCTCAGGATGAACTGTGTTCAGATTAACAATCTTAAAGAGATAAAATAGAAAATAGAAGGAGCATGCTTTCAGTGTGCATTGAGGCCACTCATCTCTGCATTTACTGCTCTCTAAATCCAATCACTCAGGACTCAGGATTAATGCCAGGTGTGAACGCATGGTTTTAGCACAAAACTGGATTAGATTTAAAACTACATGGTTAGCTGAAACCTGAGACCTCTGTTTATTGTTGCTCTTTCCTGTTTGACATATATGGCTTCCTTCCCTCTTCTCAAACCATATACATAGCTTCTCTGTCCAAAATCAGAAAGCGCCCTGTAGCGATTTCACCGGCTGAGTGGGTTTTGCTCTGCGACACGTCTCCATTGAGTCCAACTTGTGTTTTGCATATTTATTTTAAAACTAACATGATTAACTTTTGCCATCCATCAAACAGCGCCTGAACTGATTTATATCGCTTGTACGACTGGAAATGGTGATAAAGGTGTCGATCGAAAAAGTTACGTTCAAAAGTGTCGTTCAAAAAATGGCGGTGAACAGAAGTTTACAAACCCCAGCACCTGGTGCCACGACCCAGATCAGCTAAGTAACATGTGACCACTCCCTTCATGCAACTACCTGAAGATAGGGCTGGACAATATCGATATTTTAAAAATATCGAGATAATTTCACACGCGATACAAGACGGGACTATGTCGTCTATATCAATATTTCTACGTTGTGTTATAATTAAGAATTGAAAATCCGTGTATTCTTTTTCCCGCCGGCGTCACCAACTTCAATCAGCCCCTCCTTCTCCCTCACTGAATACAAACCCAGACCCTCACCTGCGCCCGCTCCCACCACTTCCTGCTTCTCCAGGTGGGCGGGAAGTTTAGCACAACAAGTAACAGAGGAGAGGACATCAAAGAGCAAAAAGAAAAAGGATGGCTGTTATTTGGAGATGGTTTGGATTTAAATTGTCAGATGAGCAGCAGAAAAATGTTTTCTGTAGACGTTGCCAAAAACAAGTCCCGACAAAAGATCAGCACTACGAATCTTTGTCACCGTTTCAAACAGCGCTAGAAGTTGAGTGCGTGTGAAACTGCGGCTCCGACAGGCTTCAGCCTGAGACAAACCACGGCACACAACTCATTTAGCCGTGCTGTGCCGTACGAGGGGAACAGTGAGAGGTAGCATGACACGATGGAGCAGCAGTTTATCATGTCGCCAAACACGTGGTCCCAGTCTCTACTGTGGAACAAAACGACTACAGACAACGGGGTTAACTAACGTCATGATGGCGGCGCAGCTGAACAGGATTATTATTTAATAAATGGAAATAGTTTATTTTTTAGACATTTATTTTGTACACTTACATCTGTTTGTTAATAAATGTGCCTGTGTGTGCCATGGTTGGCCCGCTGGGGCCTGGCGGGCGGGCGGCTGGGGGTGCGTGCTTGGTTGTTGGCGGTGTGTGGGGGTGGTCGGTGGCATGTCCTCTTCATGGTGGGGGGGTATCCTGTCGGCGGGGCATGGCCTGGGCCGGGTCTGGGGTATTGGCTCTTCTCCGCTCAAGAATGAATGGGTTTACCTCCTGGGTTTGGGCATGGGCTGCCCCCTGTAGAGGGCGGGTACATGTCTTGGACCTGGGGGGTATAGAGTG